AAAGCACCAAGAAGCACTGAGGAACAGAGCACAGACCTGAAGCTCTACAGTGAGTCAGCAGCGATGCCCTGAGGAGAGGCAAGCTGGTGACGGGCTGCAGAGATGGGAAGTGGACTCCAGGACGCCATGAGCGGATGCCAGGCAAAGTCCTACATATCTGCCTGGGCAGCAGAAGAGGCAAACTGGTGGGCGGAGGCTCTGAGTGGAGGGAAGTAATTTTGGAACAAAGCGGCCAGTTCGGAGCCCAGCGAATCTAGCCCTAGTGGGGCAAAATGGCTGCAATGTGGTATTATCCAGCTGGCCGTGGCAGGTGGGGGGCGGTGCACAGATCCATTGAAGGACTGCAGCAGTTTCCACCCCAGCGGGGTGTGTGCAAAATGCATCCCCCAATAACAGCCCTCCCAGGGCTGCTCCCTGCTGGGGCAATTCACGCAACAGCCTGGGATCAGGGTGGGGACTCCCCCCATCAGCTGTAAAATTCACCCAGTGCCAGGAGCCAGCGGCAGGGCCTCCCCATCACCTAATGGGGGAGCAGCATCCCCACACCATCCCTGAGCTCTGGGGCAGGAAGCTAAGCGACCCCGAAGCTGGGCAGGCAGGGAGGATGTGAGCTTAACCCTAGCAGCGCTCCCTTCCAGCACCAGCTCTCCCACCTCCCCAGGGATCCCTCCCTGTTCCCAGGGGCAGCAATCGGCTATTGGCCCACCTCACCAGCCAGTGACTGCCTTGCCCATGGTCACAGCTCTGCTCGGCAGCAGTAGCAGAGAGGCAGTGACCAGGCAGTTACCAGCTGTGCCTCCCCAAAAAAGGCTGGCCATGCAGGAGGGCAAATGCCGCAGATGTGGCGTGGGCCACCTCCCTTCAGGGGCGCACCAGCCCGCTGCCTTTCGAGCGCCAGAAATGAAGCTCCCTAGAAGTGGGGGGGCCTCCAGTGCCTGGACTGTGGCCTGGCCCGCACTCTGCCCCTGAGATCCTGTCCTCGCTCTGCCTCTTCCCTCAAGGCCGCCCCACCTTCGCTCCACCTCTTCTCCCAGGGCCTCCCCTGCCTGCCACTTGCTCCTTCAGAGGAATGAGCAGCATGTGGGTGGGGCCTTGCGGGAGGAGGCGGAGAGGAGTGGTGGGTGGGTGGGGCCTCAGGCCCTGCTGCCTCCCCACCCATCCCCCCCATGTCCCCGCTGCCTCCTCAGGCTCCCCACCCATCTCCCCTGGCCCCCGCTGCCTCCCCAGGCTCCCCACCCATCCCCTATCATCCCTAGTCCCCGCTGCCTCCCCACCCACTCCCCATTGCCCCACCCCCCACTGCCTCCCTGGCTTCCTCCCCTTATTGCCCCTAGGCCTCACTGCCTCCCCACCCCCCATTGCCCCAAGCTCCCTTCCACAGCCTCGCACTCCAGGTCTGCCCTGCTCCTTGCCTCTTGAACACGGCGCCCTGGGTGGTCGCCCACCCGTAAGGCTGACCCTGCAGGTTTCTCTTCTCAATTTTACATTTCTGGGGAGATAAATGTGGTTAACATACAATTTGGGTTGTGACGGGTCTTCAGAGTTCCATGGAGCCGTTTTCCCACACTTTAGGAAAGCATCAGGAGATGGATCACTTGATGATTACCTGTTCTGTTCATTCCCTCTGGGGCACCTGGCACTGGCCATTGTCTGAAGACAGGATACTGGGCTGGATGGACCTTTGGTCTGGCCCAGTCTGGCCGTTCTTATCCCGGCTCTGAATTAGCCTGGAAGCTCTTTAGGGCAGAGCTGACTCAGATTTTTAAAGATATTCAGGCCCCTAACTCCCATTGAAATCAGTGGAAGGAAGGCCCCTAACTACCTTGGAAGAGTGTGGGGCTTGTTATGTGTAACTAGGGTTACCAACTTTCTAATTGCACAAAACTGAACACCCTTGCCCTGCCCCTTCTCCAAGGCCCCGCCCCCGCTTGCTCAATCCCCCCCCCCCCCTCCATTGCTTGCTCTCGCCCACCCTCACTCACTTTCACTGGGCTGGGGCAGGGGGTTAGGGTGTGGGAGGGGGGTGAGGGCTTCCAACTGGTGGTGTGGGCTCTGGGGTGGGGCCAGGGATGAGGGGTTGGGTGAGGGTGAGGGCTCTGGGCTGGGGCAGAGGGTTGGAGTGCGGGGTGGGGGGTATGGGCTCTGGGCTGGAGGTGCAGGCTTTGGGTGGGGCCATAAATGACGGTTTTGGGGTGCAGGATGGGGATCCGGACTGGGACAGGGGGTTGAGGTGTGTGTGGGGGGGTGAGGGGTCCGGCTGGGGATGTGGGCTCTGGGGTGGGACTGGAGATGAGGGGTTTGGGGTGCAGGATGGGGCTCCAGGCTGGGGCAGGGGGTTGGGGTGTGGGGTAAGGATTCTGGCTGGGGGCGCAGGCTCTGGGGTGGGGCTGGGTTCTGTGTCATGATTTTATCTATACGAAAGAAGCCAAAGCAATTACCAGGGGTGTTGAGTGAACCCCCCTTTGGGGAGGCTAGTCCACCGGCCCCACCCCCTGAGCCCGAGGCCCCACCCCCACACCAGCCAGAGCCCCGAGATGCCCCTCCTGCGACCGGAGGAGCCCCGACTCACCCGCCTCAGCCCCCAGCTAAGCTGTCACCCCTCCAAGCACCAGGCCGGCCACAGCACCCGGCTGAGCCGCTGGCCCCACTCGAGCACTGGGCTGGGCTGCTAGACTGACTCCCTTCCTGGGCCGGCCTGAGTGCTGCCCCGTCCGCCGGTGGGAACTGAGCTCGAGGCTGCTGGCTGAAGCTGAGCCCCTGCCGGCTTCTGGGTAGAGGGAGAGGGAGGGCGTGGCTCCCAGGGGAACATGGGCAAGGCTAGAGACTGGGTCAGCTAGACTGCTCTGGTCTTTAATACCCGCCGCCCATGGCAGTTACCCCAGAAGCTCCCTGTCACTCAGTGGAAAGGACTGTGTTCTCTCCATTAGGAGCCAGGGCCAAGCAAGAATATTCAAGTTCACATGCTACAGTAAATAAATAAAAAGCCTCCAGTTTGAGCCGGCAGCAGCAGAGGAGCTCGGGGTCGGGTGCTGGGTTTGGAGAAGGATTTACATTCCCTGCTGGGTAAAGAACATTCCCCACCAGTAGAGGAGAAGCTTGTTTAAATTGGAAAAGTCCAGGGGCCACTGACGGTCTGTCTACACTGCCTTGTAAAGCCAGGTCTCCTGTGACTCAGGTCTGCAGCTTGAGCTGTGTCCACACAGCACCAGGGCCGGGCTTGGACCAGAGCCACAGCAGGACTTGGGCTCTGAGCCATTCCCCAATGGGGCCCTAGACAGTCACTGACCTGAGTCACACTGATTTGTGTGTGGACGGAAAGGGGACTTGGGCTCAAACCTGAGTCACAGCCCAGGCTTAGTGTGCAGTGTAGACATACCCTGTGTGGCATCAGCTCTCCCCAGTCCTGTTGAGGCCTTTCCGCATAGTACTGAAGCCACAAGGCAGTCAAGGTGGAGCTGTGGCCAGCTGGGTGGAATTCATATCAGCTCCACTATGTCCTTTAGAACGTACCTGATGGAGAATGCACGGTACTCTTCCCACTGAGTGCGCCATCTGGGTGTCTGCGGGCAGCCGTAGCCAAAGGAGATCCCTATTGGTTCCAGCCTGGGGGGGTCTGATCCAGTGCAGGGGCCCCAGGACATTACATGGATAGCCCTGCTTTCCTGGGTATCCCCTAGCATCCATGCAGTTTGCGGTGAGTCCCACAGCTCCTGCTGTCTGGCCTCTGCCATAATTCTTCAGGGCAGGAGATGTGGGGGGTGGGGGGGATCTGGCTGGGGATCATTGGCTTTCCCCAAACGTCTGATATATTATCACTAAGGCTAAGATTTTGTCATGGATATTTTTAGTAAAAGTCATGAACGGGTCACGGGCAATAAAAAAAAATGAAGGCTGTGACCTGTCTGTGACTTTTACTAAAAATATCCCTGACACGATGGGGAGCCCAGCTGCGGGTCCCCACACTGCCTGAAGAGGTTAGGCAGCTGCAGGGGCCGCTCCAAGCTCTGGGGGTCCCCACCGCCTGTGGGGGCTTGGAGCTCCAAGGTCCCCCCACTCAGAGCTCAGGGGTACCCCCGCCACCTGCAGCGGTCGGGAGTTTTGAAGGACCCCTGGTGCCCATGGTGGCTCAGAGCTCCTGGGTCCCCTGCCCCCTGTGTTGGCCAGGAGCTGTGGCAGGGGTCCCACTGCCTGTAGCAGCTTGAAGCACCAAGGGGGCCCTTGCCGCCCAGTCCCCCAGGAGCTGTGGGGGCCCCCGCTGCCCACAACCTCTGAAAAAATCATAGCCTTAATTATCACTGAATGTTTCACTACCACTTTGTGTGCCTCTGTGGGCACAGATCACACTGACTCCGAGCCTTAACGCCCAAGGCAAACTTCGCAAATGCAGCGGATTGACTGAGCAGGTTTAAGATTTTGCTTTGAAGTCCCACTCAAAACTTCCTTCATTAGGGGCCCTTCCTCACCTGACACAGAAAGGATGGTGGGAGAGGAGGTGGAAGGTGGTAGGAGAAGGGGCAGAGCTTAGGTTATTTGCATGGCCTTAACTGTGCATTTCATCTTTGCCATGTTTTGGAAGGAGTTTGCCTTGGTATATAAACAGGATCAGGGCCTAACTTATGTTTGTCAGTTTCTTATATTAAACCATAAACAGTAACCTTCAATAGGCCTATATGTCATTAGCTTTAAATGGCTATTTTATGTATTTAATTTTGAAAAAGCTACAGTGTTCTCTCAGGGTTTTTCCTCCTAAAGAAACACAGAAAGATTTATCACCTTCCCCCCAGTTCAGCACTGCTCTTTGCCTGGGGGAATATAATATCGGGTCCCTTCACAGAGAGCTTTGCATTTCTCTGCACAGTCTCCAGGGGCTGAAAATCAAACAGGCTTCCCCCCCAGCTCAGCCAATGAGAAAGACCCTAAGTGAACAAACACCCAATTGCGGCTGCAGTCTAAAGGCAGGAAAGTGAAATGAAACCTGTCACTTTCCCCCGCTGGGAGCCATGGCTGCAGAGAGCCCTGTACAGAGTCTCCAGGATGAAGCTTCTTGTTCCATCTGTCTGGAGTATTTCAAAGACCCGGTGTCTATCCACTGCGGGCACAACTTCTGCCGGGCCTGCATCACTGACTACTGGGAAGAGTCAGATATCAACTTCTCCTGCCCTCAGTGCAGAGAAACCGCCCAGCAGAGAAACTTCAGACCCAACAGGGAGCTGGCAAAAATTATCGAAATAGCCAAGCGGCTGAGTTTACAGGCAGCCAAAGGCTCAGGAGGCGAGCGAGTGTGTGAGAAACACCAGGAGACCCTGAAACTGTTCTGCGAGGAGGATCAAGCCCCCATCTGTGTGATCTGCCGAGAGTCCCAGGCTCACAGATCTCACACGGTGGTTCCCATAGAGGAGGCTGCCCAGGAGTACAAGGTAGGGAAGCCTAGTGTATTGTAACAGGCAGGAGTTTAAATAAGTAAAGCATCAGATACAATGGGATCTTCCACTGTGAATTTCTAGACTTGCACATATTTAGGTTTCTCGCTAGTTTAATCTGAATGCCTCATTTCCTGTGTGTATATATATATACACACACATACCATTAAGAAGACAGGAAATGACACTTACGTGAATGATCTCTGTTCTCAACCTCTTGCCGAATAATGTCTGAGAGTTGGATCAAAGTGATGCTGAACTTTTGCTACCTAATAGTTCTGTTCAAAATGACATTGCTCAGGAGCTGAATAAAACTGACAGAGCTAATACAGGGCCCGATTCAGCAAAACGCTTAGACGTGAGCTTAACTTTAAGAGCGTGAGTTGTCCGACTGAAGACAGTGGAACTATTCCCTTGATAGAACGCAGTGGTCACCAACCGGTAGATCGCGATAGACTGGTCGATCCTGGAACCTCTGCCAGTCGATCGCAATCTCTGGCTGCTAAAAGTCTGGCAGCGCAGTGGGTCTAAGCAGGCTCCCTGCCTGCCCTGGCCCCACGCCGCTCCCAGAAGTGGCTGGCATGTCTCTGCAGCCCCTGGGGGGAGGGGGCATCAGGTCTATGTGTGCTGCCCGTGCCCACAAGCACTGCCCCCGCACTGGGGGGGCGGGGCCAGCGGCAGCGCAAGGAGTTGCCTGCTACCCTCCCACCCCCAGGGCCGCAGACATGCCAGCTGTTTCCTGGAGTGGTATGGGGCCAGGGCAGGCAGGAAGCCTCCCTTATACCCGCTGCGCCACCGACTGGGAGCCACCTTGCACCCCTTCCTGCACCCCATCCTGCTGCCCCAACCCGGAGCCCCCTCCTGCACCCAAACTCCTCTCCCAGACCCCGCACTCCCTTCCAACCCCCTGCCCCAGCCCTGAGCCCGCACCCAAATTCCCTCCCAGAGCTTGCACCCCTCACCCCCTCCTGCATCCCAACCCCCTGTCCCAGCCTGGAGCCCCCTTCTGCACCCAAACTCCTTCCCAGAGCCTGCACCCCTCACCCCCTCCCACACCTCAACACTCTGCCCCAGCCCAGAGCCCCCTCCTGCACCCCAACCTCCTGGTCCAGGCTCAACCTAGAGCCTCCTCCCACACTCCAAACCCCTCTTCCCCAGCCCAGAGCCTGCACCCCCTCCTGCACCCCAACCCTCTGCCCCAGCCCGGTAAAAGTGAGTAAGGGTGGGGGAGAGCAAATAATAGAGGGAGGGGGAATGGAGTGAGCAGCACGGGGCCTCAGGGAAAGGGCGGGGTAGATCCTGGGTTGATCTTAAATTCAAAAAGCGATCTTGTGCGTAAAAAGGTTGGAGACCACTGATCTAACAAAAGCATGTGTTTCAGTGTTTTGCTGAACAATGGCCATTCTTTTCCTTTGTCTGTGTCACTCATTTTATTCCTGACACAGGAATCACTCACTTCTTGGGTCCCAAACATGCGGATGTCTCAGAGGCCAGGGGGCTAAGGATTATACAGACCAAGATTGTAACATCAGTAACCAGTAAAACAATCCAGTGAATTGGAGGAGACAAACCTGGTGGCCAATTATGCATGGCTGTGGAATCATTTTCTCCTTTTGAGTTAAATCAGCTGCAGAGAGTTTAAACAAATACAGTCATATCCGTGTAGCTGGGTTGTAGTTTGTAGGGACTGGATTCTCCCTACGCCGCTGTCCAAAGAAGGGGAAAAAGGTTGAACACTCAACATTATTTCTTTGCTCAGGAAAAAATCCAGATCCAATTACAGATTCTGAAGGAAGAGCGAGAAAAGCTGATGGGATTGAAACTGACCAAAGAGGCAAGAATCTGGGAGCATCTGGTAGGTACCAGTTGTTATTATCCAGCAAGGACATGTAGGTGCATGTCCCTCCCAGGGTGGGTATCACTCTGGTAGTGTGAGGGTCCGGGGGATGGGAGAGTCAGGTCTCATACTGTGACTACGTGTCACTGAGTGAGATCCTGTGTTTCTATGTTCCCCTTTGGGGATGTCCCGTCTCTGCCGGCTGGATTGTGGCAGAGACTATGTGTCTTGCACTCAGGCTGCTGAAAATGCCCCTGGACTCTGATATGTGAAGGGGGAGAGATGCAGTGCATGATCCTGGGCTGGCTAGCACCAGGCATGAGGTCATGGCCTGGCCGCCTCCTTTCCCTCTCCTGAGCAGCCAGAAGCATCACATCTGCTCCAGGGGCACAAGGCAGCTCGTGTGGCCTTCCCCAGAAGATACAGAAAGAGCCTGTTCTCCCCCCATCCCTGCTGAGTCCAGGCTCAGTCTGGGCCTGTGTGTCTGTGTTTGGATGTGCTGGGAATTTCTGGGTGTTCCTGTTTGCACCCCTAGATGTCTTCGTGTTTGGGCATCTCTGGGAGCAGGCGACTATCCGGATTTCCTGAGTTAACGTATTAGAGGGTTAAGCTGTCTGTTGAGTTCTCTTTTGTTTCATTCTTTTTCGTTTGTTTGCTTCCCCCAGCCTCTCTCACTCCCAATGTCATCCAGGGCATGTCTACACAGTCGACACCCGTGGCTGGCCCGTGCCAGCTGACTCAGGTTCGCCGGGCTCAGGCTGTGGGGGTCTAGGACCCTGAGAAGTGAAGGGTCCCAGAACTCGGGCTCCAGCCTGAGCCCAGAAGTCTACACAGCAATGAAACAGCCCCGCAGCCCAGAGGCACCGACTTTCTGGTTTCCCTGGGGGTGCTCGACCCCCGCTCTGCCCCACGTCCGCCCTCACTGCACCCTTTCCCCCAAGGCCCCACCCCATTCCACCCCCTCCCCCGAGTGTGCCCCACCCTCGTTCCGCCTCTTCCTGCCCCCCGCTTCTCCCCCTCCCCGCCCCAGCACATCGTGCATGCCGCTGAACAGCTGATCACTGGCATGTGAGAGGCGCTGTGTGAGGAGGAGGAGCTGATCGATGAGGCCGCTGGTGGGTATTGAGCACCCACTATTTTTTCCCCGTGGGTGCTCCAGGGCTGGAGCACCCATGGATTTGGCGCCTATGCTGCAGCCCGAGCTCTGCGAGCCCAAGTCAGCTGGCACAGGTCAGCTGCAGGTTTGTCTTTGCTGTGTGGATATACCCTCAGAGTCCTGTCTTAACTTCTCCTTCAGGGACCTACCTGAAAGGTCACAGACTCTCTCGTGTCAGGCACATAGACTCACCAGTCAGATTACAGCCAGCAGGGAACTGTAGGAAAATCTTCCCCCTAACAATACTGGGAACTAGATAAGTTCCTGGAGAACTGGTCCATCAATGGCTTTTAGCCAGGATGGGCAGGAATGGTGTCCCTAGCCTCTGTTTGCCAGAAGCTGGGAATGGGAGACAGGGGATGGATCACTTGATGATTACCTGTTCTGTTCATTCCCTCTGAAGCACCTGGCATTGGCCATTGTCGGAAGACAGGACACTGGGCTAGATGGACCTTTGGTCTGACCCAGTCTGGCCATTCTTACGTTTTTATGGGAAAGTTTCTCTCAAGTGCTATTTAAGGTTGCAATAAAATACCCCTTCCCCCTCCCCATTGAGTACCCAGGCTCTCATCTGGAGCTGGCATGAATTGGTAGAGCTGCCTTGATGTTCGTGGAGTTAAACCAGCTGAAGATCTGGCCCCAGGTGACTCACTCTGTGGACCCTGCCCTGCCCTTTCCCTTCCTCATTACAGGAGCAGGTAGAAACAGAGAGGCTGAAGATTCTGTCTGAATTTGAGCAGCTGCGGCAGTTCCTGGAGGAACAAGAGCGACTCCTGCTGGCCCGATTGGAAGAGCTGGACAAGGAGATTGAGAAGAGAAGGGATGAGAACATTGCCAAACTCTTGGAGGAGATTTCCTGTGTAAATGACATGATCAGCGAGCTAGAGGGGAAGTGCCAGCAGCCAGCAAGTGAATTCCTGCAGGTGAGATACTGGATCCTTGATACGCAAGAGCCTTGGAGTCCAAGAGTCAAACGCTAGAGTAGAACTCACAGGTTATGCAGCTGAAATATAATTTTTTACTGTTTCTAACCATTAGTATTGTTATTTGTTTCATTGTTCGGAGAACCTGGGTATTTTAAATCAAATATAATCTATCTCGGTACTCAAATGTCCCCCATGACCATCAGATCTGCATGCCTCCCCAAAATTAATGCATTGATCCTCTTCTCAGGGAAGGATTATTATCTGCATTTTACAGATGGGGCGGACTGAGGCAAAGAAGCCTGGATCCCAAAGGGACTTGTCATTGCAAGGCCTAACTTTCAGGTCCTTAGAAAATCACTATAACAACAGTGGGATCCACAACGTTAGGCCCCCAGGCTCCCTACACGATGCACAGGTGGAGCTAGGCACCGAAGAACAGGAGCTGCCGAAGCCGGCTGGTGGGGGATGCCAAGGAGAGGGGTGTGTCCCAAGCCCACCACTCTTGCAAAGAGAGGTGCCCAAATCTGAACTGCAGGGGAGGCGCCTGGCTCTTGCTTGTGATCCACAAATGGGAACCCCTTACCTGGAGACTGGTGTCTTCTGGTGCTTAAATCGTTCTTGTGGGAAAAAGTCAGGTGGGTAACTAGTGCCGAACAAAGCCATGCTGGTGGCAGAGCCGGCTCGCCCTTGTAACCTTTAGCTCAGTAATTAGGGTACTCGGTCGGGAGATAGGAAATTCTGGTTCAATCCCTGTCTGATGAGAAGAAGAGAAGTGACAGGGGTTCCTCACCTTAGAGATACACACCCTAACCACTGGCATAAAGAGTGGATTTCAATTTACTTCTCTTCTAGCCTACTTGAAGGAAGGGGCACAATGGACTAAGCAGTTAGGTATGAAGAATAGCCCTAAGGTTATACCCTGAAATCATCTAAACGGCTACCGAGATTGGTTTGTGTTGCATCTCGTTGATTTCACTAAGGTTCCTTCTTTCCCTTCCCCTTCTAGGATGTCCAAAGCACCTTGAGCAGGTATGTGGCTCCTTCTCACGCCCCCTCACAAGTTTCTGTGCTGTTCTTATTAGCGGTTTGTATTGTGGTAGTATTTAGGGGCCCCAAACCACAGACTAATAGGGCTCCATGGACAAAAACGTAACAGACACTCCATGCCATAGGCGCCAATTCTGTGGGTGGTCTGTGGCTGGAGCACCCACCGAAAAAAAACAGTGGGTAGTCAGCATCCACTGGTGGCCCTGCCGATCAGCTCCTCTCCCACCCTCCCAGCACCTCCTGCCCGCTGCAGATCAGCTGTTCAGCGACGTGCAGGAGGCACTAGGGAGGAGGGGACAGAGCGAGGATGGGGCATGCTCCAGAGAGGGGATGGAACGGGGTGGGAAGAGGCAGGGTGGGGTGAGGTGGGGTCTTGTGGGAAGGGATGGAGTGGGGCGGGGCCTGCGGCAGAGCATGGGTTGAGCACCCCCAGGGAAATGAGGAAGCCAGTGCCTGTCCTGCCATACCCTTCATTGGGAAAGGATCCCTCCTTCCTTGCCCTTTTGACTAGGACAAGCGTAGGTGTCCGATGCCCCAGAAACCCTTACCTTGGAGGTCCCTCTGAATGAGGAGACCCGGGTGCTTTCCTCCTCCTAGAGGGAAGGCAGAGTGAATTTCCAAACACACAGTGGCTCTCGTAGTGAAACAAGATTTATGTGAACATAGAGCAAGAAGATCATTTTTAAAAAATTGATGATCACCACTTATCTATGTTTATCTCTCTATTGGCTGAGAGCAAAATTCTTGGCTACCTGATAACTTTTGGGTGATGCATGAGGCAAGCTGGAGTCGTGGCGTTCTCTCAGTCCACTTCCAAGTGCTCAAATGGCCACATCACAAAGATGTACGGCACAGACGTCATTTTTTTGGCCCACTTATTGGTAAATCGCAGCAGGAAAGCCAAGGACCGAATTGGCCGTGGGTTCAGATGGGATTTGTCTGGTCCATATATAAAGCACAGGAATAAAACTCTGTTAGGGAAGCTTCCACTGAGGGCTTGTCTACACTGCCACCTTACAACACTGAAACTTTCTCACTCAGGGGTGTGAAAAAACACACCCCATGAGTGATGCAAGCTTCAGTGCTCTAAAGTGGCAGTGTAGATAGTGCATCAGCGCTGGGAGCTACTCCCCTCATGGGGGTGGGTTTTTTACAGCTGGAGCTGGAGCCGCGACTACATAGCCACGTTAAAGCACTGCCACGGCAGTGCTTTAATGTTGGTAGAGAAGACATACCCTGAGGCTGGGATACACAAAGGCAGTCTAGGGGTGGAATCCTGGCCCTGCTGAAGTCAAAAGAAATTTTGCTATGTACTTCACTGGGTCAGGGTTTTACCCCAGTCCTATCAGGACAGCGGGGTTCCGTAGCATGAAAGTCATGGGGAAAGATTATTTAAAAAAGAAAAAAAGCAAACAAACAATGGAGAATAAGGAATAAACTAAATAATGAATTAGACGAGTCTGTTTCTTTCCAGGTGTGAGCTGGGGAAGGTCCCGCAACTGGAGGAGGTTTCTCCTGAGCCAGAGAAAACCCCCAGCAGCATCTCTCATAAAACTATTGCTCTAAAGGAGACTCTGAGGAAATTCCAAGGTACGGAGAAGGGATTGGGGAAGAGAGGAACTTGACATATGACAGTGGGAGGAGATGGGCCAATTAGCTGCTCATGTAAAGTCCAGACAATAACAGTAAACAATGATGTTATCATTACTGAACTCTGTAAGGGCCTAGAGCAGAGGTTCTCAACCTTTTTTGGCTATGACCCCCTTTGAAAATATTTCAGGCTGTGACGATCCCCTCAAAAAGTGACGACCCCCTCCACACCACGCTTTAATATACTTCTGTGCTGCTGCTGGCGGTGGCGCTGCCTTCAGAGCTGGGAGCCGCACCTGCCACTCTCGCGACCCCTCCTACAATAGTCTTGCGATCCCCTTTTGGGTCGGACCCCCCAGTTTGGGAAATACTGGACCAGAGGAGATTCCTTGGGACTAGAACGTAGGATGAGAGCTGGTTGGAAAGTGGGAGGTGTTTTCTCTCTCACACACACACACACACTTACTTTTGAAAATGTTTCTTTACAAATAATTCATAAGTATTATCTAAGTTTCTTTTTCCCATGGGCAGGTCTATCCTCCCCAGTGCCCTCACCCACCATTCCTGATACCTCCTTTCACCCTGCACCCCCCTGGGCTATCCTCTTCTCTACTTCTACCTCTTTGCTTTTCCCTCTTGGCTGAGGGACCCACCCAGGCTGCTGATGCTGGTGTCCCTCCACTCAGGGCCGGCCTTAGGGGAAATGGTGCCCTGGGCGCATGGGCGGCAGGTGAACCCCCCCTTTGGGGAGGCTAGCCCCTCGGCCCTGCCCTCCCTGTGCTGACAAAGCCCCGAGCGCCCCAGCTGCACCGGCCCAAACTGCCCCAGCCAGCCCAGCCCCTGGCTGCCAGTCCGAGCTCAGTCCCTGCCGGCTTCAGGGGAACGTGGGTAGGGCCTTGGGGTGGAGCATAGGTGGGGCCACAGCCTGGGTTAGGGGAGGCTTAGTCTTCCCTAGCCTTTGATATCCACCGCCCATGCCTGGGCGAACTTGTATTTTGGTGCCTCTGGCCCCCACAGGTGCCCCACCACCCTATCGCCCTGACCCCCACTGGTCCCCCCCATCCAGGCCCTGCTGCCTTCCATCAGTGCTTAATTTGTATTGAAAGAGATGCCGGGGCTCAGCCCTAGCACAAATTAAGCACTGGCTGTCGTCAGGACAGTGGGTAGGAGGTAACAGCACGGCCTCCCCTTAAATACCGCACCTTGGGTGGCGGCCCAGCCCGCCGACCTCTAAGGCTGGTCCTGCCTCCACTCTCCTCAGGAGTGGCTAGGAGTGGGGCAGCAGGGTGAGAAGCAGAAAGGCAGAATCTGCAGCCAAAACTGCAGCTGTAACAGCACCTCTAGTGCCTGGGAGAAGGGAACCGCGGTGAAATCCCTGCTCAGCCCCAGCAGAGGCAGCTCACTGCAATCTGGGACAGAGAAGCAGGAAATCAGGGAGGGTCCCAGCCAGGACGGGGCTATGGGGGTGTGTGAGAAATGGTTCCAGCCGCCCACAGGGCCGAGCTCTGCCCCTAACGCTCTGATTTTCTCTTGGTTTCCCCCCAGCGGATGTGACTCTGGATCCAGACACGGCTCACCCCCGCCTCGTCCTGTCTGAGGATGGGAAAAGTGTGAGATGGGAAGACACGCGCCAGCATGTGCCCGACAATCCCAAGAGATTTGATTCTTCTCGCTGCGTGCTGGGCCTGGAGGGCTTCTCCTCGGGGAGGCATTACTGGGAGGTGGAGGTGGAGGATGGGGGAGCCTGGGCTGTAGGGGTGGCCAGAGAGTCTGTGAGGAGGAAGGGACGGGTCAATGTTAACCCGGAGGAGGGCATCTGGGCCGTGGGTCAATGTGGGACTCAGTACCTGGCTCTCACCTCCCCCAAGATCCCCCTCTCCCTTGGTGAACGGCCCAGGACCATCGGGATTTATCTGGACTGCGAAGAGGGGCGGGTGGCATTTTTTGATGCCGATAACGAGGCCCCGATCTTCACTTTCCCACCGGCCTCTGTCCCTGGAGAAAAAATCCTCCCTTTACTGTGTTTGGGGAGAGGATCCCAGTTCAGACTGTGTCCCTGCATCACAGGGTATAATATAGAGCCTTAGAAATACACATGGTTAGCCTCACACGGCCCAGTTTGTCCTGGAGGCCAAAGTGTATTTGTGCATGTCAAACCCAAGAGAAGGGGGAAAAGGTATCAACCTGTCTGTGTGTCCCAACACTGATTCTGCAGGATTCTAGCAGTTTGCAGGGACATAGACTGGGATGGGGGCAACCGGAACCAGAAATGGGGCATTGGAGAAGGGTAATTGGGGTAGGGGGGAACGGGGAGGAGGTGGATACTGGAGAAATGAACCTGAAAGGGTGGGAGCCAATTAATAATCTCCAGCTTTGAATGGGGTTTTACGGATGCATTTTTTAAAAAAGAAAATGGATTCTACATTCTTATGATCCATGGAATAATTGTATTAAAGTGAATTGTAAAGTCCCCAAGGGTCCTTTTGTCTCTCCTGGTGGGTTTAAAAAGAAAAAAAATAGATTAAGTGAAACTGCAACGAGCCATTCATAAGGGAGGCAGTGTGGCCTAGTGGATACAGCACCGCATTCAGGAGACCTGGGTTCTCTTTCCAGCATAGCCACTGGCCTGTTGGGGGAGTTTGGGCATGGCTCTGTACCTCTCTCTCCCCATCTGTGA